AAAGAAAAATTTGTAGATATTCTTTTTATACCCCAAATGCCAATCTTTAATGTTAATTTATTTACATTGCAAATACATGCTTGTGCTTTGGATTTTAACTTTTTTCTTGGTAAAGAGAAACAATATTTCCAAGGGAAAAAAGTATAAATAATACTTACTGGAGTTGTTATAATTATATTGGCATGTTGAATCTCAAAGACTTTTAAATTTGTAGATATTCTTTTTATACCCCAAATGCCAATCTTTAATGTTAATTTATTTACATTGCAAATACATGCTTGTGCTTTGGATTTTAACTTTTTTCTTGGTAAAGAGAAACAATATTTCCAAGGGAAAAAAGTATAAATAATACTTACTGGAGTTGTTATAATTATATTGGCATGTTGAATCTCAAAGAGGTCATCCATTACCGTATCTCCAGTGAGTTCTTTACAATTCAAGCCTATTGATCCAAATTTTTCTTTCCAGTCATCAAACCGCTGACTACATAGGGCTTTTATTGGTGCCACTGTAATAATATATTTATTTTTAAAAATTATTTTCTCAAGTTTAAGTTAATGAAGTTAGGCTAAAAATACACTTTTAGGTACTGCCTAATATTAATAAACTGAAAGTTAACAAAGAAGTATATTAAGATATATAAAAATGATCACCATAAACTTCAAAATGGGAAAAGTGGTGATTGCGCAGAGAAGTGTAAGAAGAGGGAGAGAAGGGCTGGCTGGAGCGATGGCTCAGTGGTTAAGAGAACTGGCTGCTCTTACAGAAGACTGGCGTTTCATTCCCAGAACTCACACAGTGGCTAACAACCATCCACTACTCCAGTTCTAGGGGAATCCACCTTCTGACCTCCGTGGTCTTGCACGACATGGGTGCACCTATATATATGCAGGCAATACAACTCACTCATACATGTAAAATAAAAATAAAATATTTTTAAAAAGAAGAGGGATAGATAGAGCAAGAGATTATTGCTTTTTCATTAGAAGCCCTTTGTGATATTTATTTCTTTTAAATCAGATGCATATTACTTTGGGAATTTTTCTTTTGAGACAGTTTCACTATATAGCCCTGATTGGCCTGCAACTCTCATGAAGGACTGGTTAGCCTCAGTCTCACAGGATTCACCTGCTTCTGCTTGTTAGGATTAAAGGCATGCACCACCATGCCCAGCAAAATATACAAGCCTAAAAATATAAAAATATAGATACATCTAAAAAAGAAGAGCAGGTGTTTCTATGTAAATTTCTAGAATTGTAAAATGTATGATTATTTGTTTTTGATTATTTTGACTGTCCTCTTTTAAAGGAATGTGTAAAATTTAAACCCCCAATTCAAATACTGTTTTTTATTTATAACTCTAGAAAACATTTTAAATTTAATGTAACAGACAAAACCAATTGTGACGTGTATTTATTAAAATAGACAGAGGACTACAATTA